GCGCCGGCCCCCAGCCGAGCTCCCGAGCTGACCGGCCTGCGCCGGCCCCGCTCGCTCCGCGCAGGGGGAGCTTGGCGGGGAGCTGGTCACCCCCCCGGGCGCCCGTGCCGCCTGCGCGTCCCCGAGCGTACCTGTTCCAACTGGCAAAAGCACTTACGACTTACAAATGAGAAGTCCACGTACCCCCAGAGAAAGGAAAGGCTCTATCCTTGCTTGAGAGCCAACTGTAACTGTGTAAGTTTTTCCCCTGTTAGCTGCTTGATACGTCTGTTTCTCCTTGCAGATGATTGAAACGCTTGTAACTACTGAAGCTCAGGAACTGCTGTACCAGCTCACAGCCCTGTTGGAACAGGAGTTAAGATGTCAGCCAAAGGCGTCTGGCCTGAGACTAATCGAATCTGCTCATGATAATGGTCTCCGAATGACTGCAAGGCTGCGAGACTTTGAAGTGAAAGATCTCCTCAGCTTAACGCAATTCTTTGGCTTCCGTACAGAGACGTTTTTGCTAGCTGTGAATTTCTTGGATAGATTTTTGTCAAAAATGAAGGTACGTCTTTTTAAAGTGTAAGCTCTCAGTTATTAGCTCATTGCAACCTTGTTCCTTTTATGAATTAGAACATCTTGGTTTTAGATGGCTAAAGGTTAAGCTCCTTCCAGAGATTCTGATTGCAGAAGAGCTAAAAAATTACTTTCCGTGTTCAGATTTTAGTATTTTTAAGAAAGCTGTTTCCTCTGGAGAGAAGAAGGAAGAGGGCATCAGTTTCAACTTGAGGATGCCCCATAGGCTTTGAAATGCGGGCTACATTACTGGGTTAGATCAAGACAGATTGTGTTGCCTGTTGCATGTATACAAGAACACCTTAAATTCCTGTTGTTGCAACCTACCCATAAGCCTCACAGATATCGAGAGGGTTGATGCTATTTAGTGCTTAGAATCTGGTGGTGGCGTGCTAACCTGGGTTGTTGTTAATCATCTAATGAGACAGGATTACCACTATACTATTTGGTCAAGAACAAAAGCTTGTTTTCCTAGTGTGCTAGAAGAAAAATGAGAAAGCTAGATGGAGTGGATAGGAAAATGATTTGAAAGACTTCTGAATCCAAAATAAGCACCAAAAATGGGGACTGTAATACCTATGGAATAAAATAAGTGAGTCTTTATATATATGTGTGTGTATATATGTAGAGAAGAGTAAAACAACCCCCCCCCTTTTTTTTGTTGTGCATAAGCCAATATATACAACACTTTAGGTCCCAAAAGCTGCTGCTTAGGCTATTATAGAACTTCATTAAGAAACCAGTTCTACCTCAATCAAGATATCATTCTGCAGTCTTGCTTTTTAGATGAATGAGGCAGAACTTGTAGTGTATAGCGGTCTTCTCATTTAGTTAAATAAAGACAAGAATGTAAGCAGGCAAAAGACTGATTTTTCTGTCTTCAAAAAACAGAACCATCTCCCCCGCTCCCCCTAATTTTTTTCTAAAATCTGTATCTTTTTGTACTTACATGTTGAAATGGCTGATCAAAGGCTTTGAAACTCTTTGAAAGTAACAATTTACTTTTCTTTAGGTACAGCCTAAACATTTGGGTTGTGTTGGACTCAGCTGCTTCTACTTGGCTGTGAAGTCATCAGAAGAAGAGAGAAATGTCCCCTTAGCCACTGACTTAATTCGAATAAGCCAGTACAGGTTCACTGTTTCTGATATGATGAGAATGGAGAAAATAGTATTGGAGAAGCTGTCTTGGAAAGTCAAAGCTACAACAGCCTTCCAATTTCTACAACTATATCATTCACTCATTTATGAGAATTTAAGCTGTGAAAGGTAAAATATCTAATATTTATTTTGCTATGCCTGCATATGATCAAGAAGCCTATGTGGAAACGTAAGCAGGGAAATTACTCAAGTAATTGGCCTTTCTATACTTAAAAACCCCCCATTTTCCCCCTTTATTGATAAATATTACAAATGTGAATATCTGTAGTTTAATATTATTTTAATTTTAAATGTTGTTTGCATAAAGTGATCTAAAGAGTATTGCGCTCTGAGCCAAAACCTAAACTTGCTCAATAATCATGGTATAATAAATTCTGCTCATGCTGTACTAAGTATTGCCTCATTGCAAAGATTTTAAAGTCTGGCTTAGAAAGAGATTCCTTTTGCTTGTAAGCATTAAAATTCCTTGTTGGTAAGCCTATTTTGACAATACAACTCTCCCCAGTGTAACACAAGATTTATTTTTGGCATTAGGACTGCCAGAACTGAACACCAGTTTGACTGTAACCCTAGAACTTCTGGGACAAATGAGGCCTTTGTTTAGATAATGAATATTTTCACTGCTTTTCTGAGTTCCCAGGGTGGTGCTGCCTTGATCAAGCTTTCATTCTTCTACATTCACTCTTCTGTTTTTATTACAGGAAAAAATACCTTAATTTTGAGAGACTTGAGACCCAGCTTAAGGCATGTCACTGCAGAATCATGTTCTCTAAAGCCAAGGTAAACGTCTTGAAAGCTCAAAGACAATGACCCTACTGAAACTTAACAAAGCAGTGTTTAACAACGTTTTCTCCCTCTCCAGCCTTCCGTCTTGGCACTGTCTATTATGGCACTAGAAATAGAAGAACAAAAACTAATGGAGTTGACAGAGGCATTGGAATTTCTGCAGTTGCATTCCAAGGTATGTATAGATAAAATTTCAGGGGAGGAAGGAAAAAAATGCATGCAGGGGCCTACACAGTGGGGAAGGGGGAGGTCCATTGGCATACTGGTTTCTTCTGTGGCTTGGCTCTGTATGGGGTTTTATCCATTTGGCTTGGGATCTTTTGTTTCCTATCTTATGTGAAAAAGCTGAAAGTACATATATGAAATAAGGATTTAATGAGTTATTAACATGTGAGATTCTGTCTTGCTATTTAGATAAACAGCAGAGATTTGACCTTCTGGAAGGAACTGGTGTTCAAGTGCCTTACAGAATATTCCTCAAGCAAGTGTTCCAAACCAAATGTCCAGAAATTAAAATGGATTGTGTCTGGACGTACAGCACGGCAGCTTAAGCATAGCTATTACAGAATAACACACCTTCCTACAATTCCAGAGACCAGCTCATAATAGGTAACTCCTTGTAAAATCAACTTCTGATAATGTAGAACTAATTAGCTGTTAATTACCTCAAAGGTTCTGATTCCATATACATAACCTCTTGAAGACATGTAACATAAAGGTAGTAGGCCTATCGTAGAGGCTCGTCTATTCTCATGTTCATGTTTGAGCCAGTGCTATACCTAAATAAGTGGCAACCTAATACATGACCATTGGAGAAAGAACTAATCCTCTGGTCTGCTGTGGGAGCAGAAATGTGTTCTACAGACATTGGGACCTCATTCAAACTAAATGTGGAGTAGAACTGGTAAAAAGGCAGAGAAAATATTTGGCTTGCTCCTATCCAAAAGGATTGGCTAAGAGGTAACAGTTGCCGATTAGAATGTGTTTCTTGTAATCATTTACTTAAACCACTTAAAAGGAAGACAGTTTTATACAGTTTAACTTGTGTAACTGTCGGTTTAGTAAAGTCTAAAAACTGCAATTTTTCATTCATAATGTCAAAATTCATATTACTGCTTTTTTTACTCTGTAGAAATTGTGAACTACTTTCTTATCTAGGCTTTAATGCCAAAGGCTACATATTTTCTGTAACAGTTGTCTTGCTATATTGAAATCTGATGCTTTGTTTGACTCCTTAGAAAGCCCTTCAGTTGACTGGTAGTGTGTTTTGGTTTTGTTTTTTTTTTTTTTTTTACAGGAGCACAATAAGTTGAGGAGAGAACCATCCTGTGACCTTGTCATCAGAAGTGTGAATTTTGAGAAACAAAGTCTGAAACATGATCTTAATAATGAAGAACTCAACTCATGGAAGAAATACGTAACATTTCAGACTAAAGATCCTTCCAGCAAATATTTTCTTTTCATGATGATTACAACAATATTCCGTGTTAGTTTTCAGTCTGTTAGACTGTTTACTGTTCCATGAAACACCACAATACTGCTATGAGCAATTTTAAGACCTTATGGTTTGTAGAGCAACTTGTGTAGTCTAACCTTGGTTTACTAGAGCTGCAGGTGCTGCAGTATACATTTAATTTTGAAAATCTAGTTGACTTTCCAAAGATTAGATGACGCTAAGAAAACATCACGTGCAGTAGCACAGTGCTGCAGCGTCTCAATCAAACAAAGCTAGTTCTGCTCAATACTGATGACAATAGCAAATGCCTGTCAGTCCACCTGATGTGCTGTTAGGGCAGTGTCATGTGTCCACATGTTCCTGTTGGGCAGGGCACTGGCCTTCTACTGTAGACACATTAAAAATTAGGCTATGTGATACTCACTGAACACGGCAACTAGCTAGAGCAGGAGAACAGAGAAACCTAATTTCATTGCCTTGTAAAAGGTAGTTACTAATACAGGATCAGTAACTTCAGTATTTTGTAAGAGGTGTCGTTTGCTGAGATTATGAATTATTTCATAGAGTGTAAAAACTTCACGATACCTAACGATGGCTGAGGGGAAAGTACTGGGTCTGATATCAGTTTTCCAAAGTTTTACTGTACAGGAGGTAAATGCTGATGCTGAACAGGTGTGTTTTTACAGGCACAATAGGAGCAGGGCTAATGCCCCATCTTGGTGTGATTGTAGGAGCAGTCTAGTTGAAAAACACTGAAGGTTGCTTCAACTCTGATCTCTTTAACGGTAAGCTTTGTAAAATACAGCTTTCTGAATAAAAAAGTACTTGAGGCATATTGCACTTCTGGTGCTAACAAGGAAGTGAGTAAGAAGAATGTATTATTGTATGTAAGTTGAATAGAGGTGGTGGGGGAATGTTGCTAATGACCTCTTGAATTCTGCGTCACTGTGGAAGAGGCTGTTAGCGATGGGCTGTTAATAACCGATTGCCATAGGAACTGACATAGTGGAGAAAGAGAGATCAGAATGTTCAGAATATACTGCAGGCTTTAGGCCAACCAACCCTTTCCCCTTTCTGGTAATAGTTGAGGGGGAAGCTAATATTTGCATATCTCAAACCAAACCTTTCCCAGAAGACCTTGTACCAAAGCTCTGTACTGGACAAATCAAGCCTACTCATGGGAGTGATTGCACTGCATAACACATAATGGAGTTTTGCATCTGCCAGTGCTATCTGTGCATTGTGCTGGCCTCTGAAAAGCACGCAAATGATTTAGACAAAGGTGTGGTCAGCCTATGGGGAGAGATGGAGAAGATACAATGTGCAATTTGAAATGTCATGTCTCAAGATGTGTACCTTTCAATTAAACATTGAAATGTGCTTAACTGAGTAACTTTCTTCCCATTTGTTATAGAACATCTTAGTAGGAAGTGTATAAACTGACTTGTATCTGAACAGTACCTGGAAAAGGAGGTAAGACATGGAGATTGTTCCTATTTATTTTTTTTTTTAAGAAGCTGAGGCTGCATGGGAAGGGCACAGAATCAACATGAAAAACTCGGAGTTCTTGATTAAAGTTATTTTAACTTGGCCCATGATTACTCCAAACCCTTTGAGATGTGAAAGTGTCAAGATTGAAGACACTGACTGAAGTAGCTTAGACTGTTCAAATTTGACTTTAATCATCTTCTATTATTAATCTAATACTACAGATCACCTGTTTCTGTACACTGCAGTGAATTACATTACAATGCATTACATGGATGGTGCTTGCTTAAGAGAATCTGGCACTCAAGATTTCTAATCCCAAGACTTGAGATTTTGCACTGGTCTGAGCATCCCAGTGTGACTAGGTATGAGTTTAGCTATACATTTCTGTACCTAACTGACCCAGGGCAGCTATGGTCATTTAGCTAGAGGGAGCAATGCTGTGGCATTACTCTGTGCTGATCTTGAACCAGATGCATGAAAAAAATGCTAGCAAGACTGTCCTCCACCTATTTACATAGCCGAGTAGCACTCTGAATAAGTGCACAGCATTATTTCCTATAGAGTTGGGTTGCTCTGGATACTATATTACATACCCAAATTTAAGCGTCTGTCAAATACCTGTTGCTGTTTAAGTTGTAAAATAGAACACAAACCCACCATTTGTTAAAGTACAGACTGAGAACTGAGTAGATATGGATTAAGAAAAGTCAGCATCGATATATCTTTATTTTCATCTGAATTCTTCCAAAATTGGAGGTCTGTAGGTCTGTAACTTAGAGCAAATCACAGAAGTAGCTAAACCTTTCCTCTTAAAACAATTCAGAGCTGTGATGCCTGAATACATACTTCCGTCTTTCCTCAACATCAGCCTTGGAGTTAGCTGTAGGGTGACTCTCATACTACTTCATAAGGCAGAAAATATGGGAATAAAGTCTAGCTTTGAAAGTGCATATAGTAAATATCAGTTCATGCACAGATTTGTCAGATGCCATTCTAAACTTCTGCTATAAGCAGAAGACGTACAAGAGAGTCCTGTGCACACGAACTGCTGTAACAAAAAATACTATTTCACTGGAGAGTACTTCAGCATTTTGATGAAACATGAACTGCTACTCTAGCTTCCCCCTGTCTTGAATTACTTTTGCACCAGTCTCATTCATTTCATAACTATACCATCCACCTTCTATACTAGGATCACGGTAAGGATGCAAAATTTCATGGCCATAAATCAGCATTTGATACACACTATTTTCCTTTGTATAGCAAGGCAAGTTCTCTAAAACCCCAGCACAGTGTATGGACTTACCTTACATTCTGTAAAGATGATGTGTAGAAGGAGCATACTTGATTATTTCAGGAGTATTACAGTTGCTCGTACAGCAAGAAAGCACTGGATACATTACAATGAAAGCATTCTTCCTCAACTATTACTTTATTTTTGCCACATGTCAACTGAAATAATGCTGCAATTTTAGAAATGAGGCTCAGCAGTATGATGGACAGCTGCTGGCAATTTATTTTCAGAGACACTTCTGCTTAGGACTGAAGTATAGGCAGTGGTTTCAGAGTTCAGAATACAACAGGATTTGGCAATCGTGTTTTCTTCCTCTGTTAGTCTGTTTGACACATTCATCCCATATAATGCTGTAGTTGGAGTGCTTCTCAGCTGCGCCCTTACCACTGAGTAGAAAATTCGTGATAGACATCTTGCAGATGCAAAATACAGTATCATGCAATAGCCCAGAACATGGCTATTAAATTTAAAACAATCTACAAAAATATAGAGCTGCTTAGATACTCTATTGACAACTTGTGCTCTACATTGGTAATGAGTAGATGCAAGATACAGTTTCCTACTTGGGGACTGCCTATTCCTTTCAAGTCATATTTTCTTACTTTCGAAGTCTTAAATATTTTTACTGAAAGGCTGTATTACATTAATACATAAAATTATTTATATTTGGACTTTCACCTGACCTTTCAGTTTTCTAGTATCACTTACCTGGTAGCAAGTATTAACGATTACTGCTATATATGACAGCACAGAGGGTTGTAAAACATTATTTGAGGTAAGATGCAGTAGTTTCCTCATTTAAACCACTGTTCTAGAATGACATTTATGAGTTCTTAAAGGGATGCTGCAGAGGGAAAGTGTAACTGTAGCCATCCTAATATCCTTCCTGTTGCAAGTGAACAGAACGTATTACATATCTTGTTTATAAGATCTTTTCTTCAACAATGAATAAGATTCTTCCATAAAGACAAGTGGTATGTTTATAGCAGACTAATTTACTATGGTGTTTTTAAAAAAAAAAAAAAAACCAAAAACCAAACCAAACACCAAAACCAACATTCTGCTTAAAGATGTTACTTTTTTGTGTATACCTTTCTGTATAGTTTGTCCCTTAGTATTAGAAAGTTATTGCAGCTTATAAATCAGCTGGTAACACTTAGTCTTCATTCTACTGGAAGAGATCTTGTTTCTCTTCACCGAAGTAGTTGACAACAATCCACTGAAGTGATCGCTGAAGTCTTCACCAGTTACATGATTCCAATCTTAAAGTGTAATGTGTAATTCCTCTCAAGGAACACAGGTAAAAAAAGTTTACTTTTCCAGACTAGAAAAGTCTGGTCCTCCTTTGCTGTAATTTCCAGAAATTTCTGCCCCACTGAAGTCAAATCCAGGGTTCTGATGGAGGTAAGAGAAAAGTTTAATAGATGGAATATTCTTAATAACAATGTTAAAAAAAAACCAAAACCAAACACAACCAACCAACCAACAAAAAGCCAAAAACTGTTTATGTTAATATTCTACCATTCTAACAAGGACATCATATAATGATCAACTTGTAATCCATTTGTCATGGCACTGAAATTCTAACAAGTAAATCTTGAATTGTCATAGTTTGGTTGCCTACTGCTGAAATTATTTTGTTATGCTGTTCTCAATTTGGCAAGCAGTTAGGTCTCCCAGTAAAGAAATATTAAGGAAAGTTTAAGAAAAAATTCTGGCTTCTGGTGTCTCTTGAAATGACTATTTGAAAAGATAAGTACCTGCCATGCTGGATAAAAAGTTACATAAAAATGATTTTCTTTGTTGGAGTGTGTAGTGTGCTGATTCAGCTGTTAAGTAAGAAGTTGTAATTTTATGACTCTGCAGACTTGCATAGGAATAGTTGTGTGCTAAAGATGTACCAAAACAATTTAAGTAATTTTAGTAGCAGGACAAGGAAAATATTTTCCAGCTAATTCTACATCAACTGATGTTACAAACAACATATTCAATGGAGCTTAGTCTTAGTTTGCTGTAAATAGGCTATGTCATAATTCTAGATAATAATACAAATTGTGGGTAGCCTAACCTCACTTGAAGAGTTGCCAGTGTTATGCAACGAACCCTAAACCAGCAATACCTGCCCCCCAAACTCATCTTTTCACAAAACCTTCAGACAGGTTACAGACAGAATAACCCGTTGAAAGTACACTGATAAAACCTCGTGAGCGTTCTATCTATACTGAACTATAGTACGTGTTTCCATGGCACTGGATAGCTGAACACTTTTGCTCAGCTTTCGTGGCCGTAACCTCTGTGTGCTAACACAAAATGTAAGGAGTAATTATGGTCCTTTAACTTGCCTCTCTTTGGAATCGCTCCAGTGTAAGTTTCCTTTGCATCTGATCCTGAACCCAAGGATCCGCAGCATATTCATTTTCTAACAGAGATGTCCAACAATTTCCAGCATCTCTATTTGTCTTCATTAGAACAATTCGTATCAGCTTCCTGTCTTCTGTTGAATGAAAACGACACATAAAATAACCATTAAACTCAGTTCTAGGTGCTAGTCTTTTCTGTTGTTTTGGTGAATTCAGCATTAGCAAGCACAGGATTTTTTTGTGAAGTAATTTAAATTCTTAATGCCAATGCCAACAGGGGTATTGATAAATAAATAAACATTAACAAGAAACAGACAGGCTGACACAAAGATAGCCTATACAGCCATCTCTCCCCTTTCTGGCCTGTAAAATGCTGAAGCTGTTTTAAAGGATTAAAAGACAGCTTGTAAGTACTTCTTTTGCAAGCATAAACTAAACTTTTAGAGAGTTTCAAAACAGAGAAGAGATTTAATTTGTTAATATATACAGCTCAGCTAAGGCAATCATGAAAGATTTGAGGTCAGGCTTTACAGAGAGTTATTACTAATAAAAGCCAGAATTAAGTTTTTAACACAGAGAGTATGCCTATAGACAATATAATGGAAGTACACTTTGAAGTTAGCACGTAGGATGTTTAGTTCTACTTAGCTGGATAAACACAGCATTATAAAATGTATTTTGAAGATTATTTGCATGCTGGAAAAGAGTAGGCTGCACTTCACAATGTTTACACTTCTAGTTTTCACATTTAAGCTACTAAATTATTTATCAATATTTAGAATAAATATTCAATGGAAAACAAAATCCATCATAGGAAAACATTTAGGTAGAGGCACAGTCCACAAATATGACTAACAAACCCCAAAACATTCTGAACATGTTACAATACTTGTGATGTAGTGATTAGAGAAGCTTTTTTTCCTCATTATCTGTAGGTATTTTAGTGTGATTTTTAGACTGCTTTTTGATTCTCTTGGACTGTAGATTTTGTCACCTGTCCCAAAAATATAGTGCATATCATGTCACCTGTCCCAAAAATATAATGCATGAGAAGAAGAGAAAAGAAAAGTAGCAAATATGGAAGGGCGCAGACCACGTAACTGTCCCATAACAGCCCAGCTTTAATGAGGGTTTGCCAAAAACTTCTCGCTGTATGGAAGTGTTTGTAATCCATTGACTACTGCCTTCCAAATATGGCATTTTTCCATTAACCTTAATCTCTAAGGCTTTTGTATTACCTCAGTTCCCTACTCTGGCAATAATGACAAGACTTTTTTCCAAAGCTATGTACAGGGAAGAAAGAAATCTTTCCCATTACAAAAAAGAGGGGTAAACTCTTCTGCAGCGTATTTTGAGAAGT